TCTCAGAAAATAACTAGTTCAAGTTCAGTCTCTGACATTCAGCTTTCTTAAATCCATTTCGTTGGAGTTGTAATTTTTCTTGCTTCTCAATATTTTGGTCGCTAGTATTCCTTCAGACAAATTTGCGGCGAAAATTCCGCTGTATATTACTTCCGATTACTTTTTCTCATATAGTCTTTCTTGGAATTATTAACTTTTGAAGGTTAGTTTCATTAGTTACGCCTTGAGCATTAATGTAATATAAAAGAACATCACTGAAGTCTTTGCTATTTGCTGTATATTAAACTCTACAAAACTTGCGAGAAAAATCAGCTTTTCCTACTTTCATCCAGTTTCCTTGTCCTGCGTCATGCTTTATTCTTCTCTCCTTCATTAACTTCAATCCACAGTTCGCTTTCATCGGAGCCCATATTTTTGTCTTGCAAAAGTATGTTTGCACTTTCTTGGTAAAATCAATCGTTCCGAAGGACAGACTAAATTTATTTCTGTTTCTTAATCAGGGTCACATTATTCGTTAATTTGGTTTGATTTTGCAAGACAGTTTTTTTCCCTTTTTAAGCTTCAGTTACTTGGAATACAAATAATTCTGAGCGTGCAGTACAATTCGGCTTTTATGCAATGTTGTATTGCGTGGAGTTCCTTGACCATATCCTTTCGAATCTTCGTAAATATTCACCACTCTACCCTGTATTTCCTTCGTTCGCCTTTACTGGCTTTCGCCATATCAACGACAACGCAATCTCGTGCCAGGCATTTCATAAATGATTCACTCTGCCTGGTTTTTCTCCTCGTTTGCGAGAAACGCGTGTGTGCTCTCGCTTCCTCTCATTCTGTTTTGGTTCGCAAGTCACTACCCACAACCTCTGTCCCCCTCATCGTCATTCCGTCCCTCACTCCTATCTACCCTTCGCACGGCGTACGCACTTGTTATTTACCGTCAAAGCCATCTTCGCAGGCGTGCATATGTGTGCGCAGCCTCGTGCATATATTATCCTACACGCCTACTTTTAACCCTCTATTTGGGGGCCCTTCTGCTCTAAAGTCCTGGCCACTTAGATATCCAACATTCCATCGCAAGCACTTGTGGCACCCCAGGCAGCCTAATCATAACTTTGAATTATAACAGTCTACTGGCCCCACTCTAACCAGACAGAACCTGTGCAACTTTGCCGTCTTAGTCGGTGTACTACTGATCTTTACGCTGGTCGCCGGCTGCTTTATAATTGTGCTTAAGAGTGTTAGCCAGGACTTTACTCTGCAATCAACCCAGCTCGCTGCACATTAATCACGCTTGCTGCAATTACAGAATTATTACTCGCCATTGTACCGTGCCCACGTTTACGCACCCATGCTGATCGCACGATAATTTTATTGATATATTTTGTGGGCGCGTTCTATATGTCAAACAAGTCCTTATTTTTCTACTTCGGATTTTACAGCATTTTCTACTGCTTTCATGACGCGCTGCAGAGTGGGAATTTTTAATGCCGTCATCCTATGCAAAAGCCGCATGTCTGACGGTCTTTACCTGATTGTCTGCCTCCCTGAAGGTGACTTTAAAAAAGCTTTTATCGTTTGCCTGTTCTGTCATCAGTCCGCAGGCCTTTTGCGCGCAGTTTGTTCGTTGTTAAAAATCACGCAAACATGATTTTTGCCATGTCTTTTTCATTCTGTTGCTGTTTATTAAACCTCTATCTGTAAGCTGAGGCATTATTGCCAGTTGGCCTATCTGTGGAGGCCAACTGTCATTCAGTTTAATAACGGACCTATGTGTTAGGTCGTGCCTTTGCAAGTCGATTCCTTGCATTACACACATTTGTGTCGGTAGGGGACCCAGGTCATGGATAACCGTTTTAGTATGTACTCATTTCCTGTCTCGACGTCGTTTTTCAGTCACTGCAAAATTTTACTACTTAATTTACCTCCTTTCTTAGGCTATATCCGCATATTTTCATTGTAATGCTTTGGAAGCCAACCACACCCTCTCTAGTCTTTACGCAAGGGCTTTCTTGGGAGGCTTTTTCAGATGGGACCTGACAGCATAATGTCCAACTGGGCCACTGCTTGCGAAGATTGATTGATAAATGTTTTCCCTAGTTCTTTGTGATTTATGCTGTCAAAGGAATTGACTTCTCTCAAGAGGAGTTTTTAGACAGTGCACTGCATTTGATTTATCCAGAACTAGTTTGCCGAGAATCCGTTTTTTTTGGGGGGGGGCCTGCGCAGTTTTCGGACTATTTTTTTACGGGAACCGGGATTTTTAAAAAGTTCAAAGATAACGGTCGCAAGTTTTCTAACAAATAAATTGCGTTCCTCCGTGTGCATGTGGCTGTGCTTACAGTGGGTTTCTTGACGAATCGTTATGACGCCAATGTCATTTATCGAACCCACACTATTAAAATGCACTCGAGACGTGACTATGCTTCTGTATGTGCTCCTCCCCTCTCCCCCCCCAGACAAACTGCGCTA